GGTGAAGGAGGAGAGACCAAGTTGATATTTTTAAAATATTTTTTGTTTTTAAAAAGAAAATCTTGCCACATAATATGTGAGTCATATTCCTCCGTTGGGATAATCTGTAATTAATGCACTCTCTCTCTCTGTCAAACACTTGTTTATTAATTAAACCTTAAACCATTTTCCTAATTTCCCCGGTCTTTCCTTAATCAAGAAATTAAATTAAATTAAAATATTATTCCGTAGAAGAAAGAAATTGCCTTTAATAAAGGGCCAAAAAAACAAAACAAAAATGTACAATCCCACTTACAATTTAATAAGCAACTCGTGTGTTACCGATTAGAAACAAATCAGGTTTGGAAGAACCAAACAAGTCTAAACTAAACCGGAATAAACCGAATCCTAAAGTAAATCCGGTTACTTCGTAATAAGACCGTGGAACCAAACAAGAACACTGTTTTTATTTGACGATGATGAGTGAGGACGAACCGGAGACCATCAGAAGAAAAGTTACAGAAATGTGTTATATCGGTTAGGTTGATGAACCGGGTCGNTTTAGTCTCTTTTTTCAGAATAGCTTGTCAGGTAGCTCTGGTGAAGTGAAAACCGCCACGGATTTGAACTGCAAGTAACATTCATAATGTGATCAATTAAAACCGAACGGTTTAACCAAAACCAAACCGAGATTCATTTTCTTTCTTTCTTACCTTCTCTTGCCTATACTTCATGCGTATGGAGTTTAAAGGACATCCTTTGGTGTTAAGCTGTAAATCTTGCAAGGCTTGAACAGATGCTTTGAGATCAGAGGCTTTGTACGTTGTGTAATGCTCAAGTGTTGGATTCTGAAACAACAAAAGAAGAATAGAATTGAGTGAGATTCAAGATTCGTGGAACATAGAACATAAGCGAATAGTGTGTCTTGTTGATGAAGAAGAGAACAGACCCAAGGGTGGCTTGATTGGTTCAATGTCCACTTGGCAAGAAAAACAGCCGAAGCAGCGATCACCGAAGGAAGAAACTTCAAGCATTGGTAGTCTGTTAACGTCAATTCTGTGAGATAATTCGCCAAAAACTCCATTTCCAGACTTGGATTCTGCAGATCATCAGTCAAAAGAACCAAAGTTTCAATCTTTCTGCTAAATGTTTTATGAGTATAGATAGATAAATACATATGAACAAGAAATGATCACATTACCAGGTGAGAAGCGTGAGCTGCTCGGAGAAATCTCCTGAAAATAATGGAAACTTTGAATCACTAAAAAGACTACAGAACAACAACATATTGTATCAAGCATTTTTACACTGTCTAGTTAGATTTTTACCTGAGGAATGTTTTCGAAGTGGGAGTGTAAATTTGAAAGCTGAAATGCTTGAGTACTTGGCTTTCCATTTCCAGGACCTGATCTCTTGTGTAAGTGTTATCCGTGATGAAGCAGAACTCCTCAATGCGCGGCGCATTGATTTCCTCGTATTTTCTTCAAACAAAACACCAAAACTCTTTTAGATGTTGCTTTTCAGACCAGAATTGTTTGGTTTGTTGGGAAGAAAATATATAGGTGATGAGCAAACTTACGAGGCAATGAGCATACAAGTGATGCCGAGCAATTGAAGTTTTTGTCTTTCCATGTAGTTTCCATGGAGAAACCAGTCTATGAGATAAACTGTGAGGTAGAGAGTATCAGGTACAAGTGTGTATTCCTCTGACACCTGAAAATGTTTTGACTTGTGAGAAGCACATAAAAGAGACTGCAAAACTTAGCAAACAAACAATATTGGAATTGAAACTAACCTCCACAAGCCAATCAACCAGAATTCCCCGCATTGTTTGAGTAATATCTTTTTGTGTTCTCTCCATAAAATCAGGAAATGGTCTGTTCTTAAGCTGCTAAGTAAACAAGTTTGTAAGGAATCAGATGCCTTGAAATGCATTTACCGTAAGATATCGAAATCCAGGGATTATTACCTCAGCAACACGCAGGTTGTAGTAGATTTCAGGTGCATAAAGGCTACAGAGTAAAGGATCCTTTTCATCTGAATCAATGTCAATGAATTTCGGGCTACTTGCCACAGTGGAACTTCCTCCAACACAGCTTCTCTCAGCTGTAAACCATTTGCAGGAAACTAAATAGCATCAGATATGTTATAAATCACTCACACAAAACAATAACTGACCAACCACTTGTAAAGTTCACCTGTAGAGGTTGATCTCTCAAGGGGTCTTGGAGGCAACCTGGAACACTGGTTTTCGATAAAGCTATAAGATGGTTCGATCGTGCCTAAGCTCGTGCCTGTACAACCAGACAAACTTCCTTTTCCAGCTGAATTTGACACAACTTCTACCTTTACTTCTTTAACTTCTGAAGTAACAGAAGATGATGCAACTTTGGAAGAATTTGCCCTTCCCTTCTTTACCTGCTTGATATTCTCCACCTACCGCGCCACGAAAACCAACAATTGTCAGCAAAAAAACATAATTCTTTCTCAATTTAAGGAAGCAGCATTGTGTAATTTAACAACCTCAATTTTAACTGCATTGAAGCAACTTCTATAAGGATTCTCACAGATAACATTTGTGATATCTTTAAGAATAGCTCGTTTCTTAGACGCATTGGCTTTCTTCTCATCCAAGGCTGCTCTTTTACTGTTTGCTCTCAAAACCCGTCCTTGGTTCTGTGTTGTAGCAGCAGCCACTTCTGACGATGTAATCAGTTTAGAAGAAGCACGCAAAGCAGAGGCAAGAGCACGAGTTACAGGTCGACCATGGATCGGTATGGTGTTTCCAGAAACAACATTCTCTTTCCCCATGATTGAATCCCTTTTTGAGAAGATCCAACACTTTTCAGTCTCAGCAACACATCATCATCTCTCGATCTGTGAAATTAAACGTCCAAGATCAAACAATAGTTGGAACAGAGAGATCTAGCTTAAACAGACAAGCTAAAATCTATGTGGATGGAAAGAGACCAATGCATATAAAATGTTCGGAGAAATTGTTTAGACTTAAAAACGGAAATATTAGCTGATTATGAGACATAATGATCATTCATGATTCAACACAGAATTGGTTCATCAAGTTCCAAACTTTTTCAAATTAAGTCAGATTCATTCAAAGGTAAGTTATTTTGATTTCCTTGTTAAGAAAATAAAAAACTCAAAACAGTAATGCAGAAAAAACCTCAAGGCCTCAAAACCCTTGGAAAAAGTCGTAGCAAGTTAAGAACAAGCGCAGAATTTGGAGAAATAAAATTTGATTTTTTCCGAAAATCAAAGTTTTGTTTCATGGGTTTTACATAAATTTGTATAAATCGGAACGGACCAAAAAAAAAAAAAAAGGAGTAAGAACTGAAGCTTTTTCTCAGAAAAGCATCCACATTTTCTCGGGAAAACGAAGAGACCCATGATTTAGAAGCTACAAGATCTCCAGAAATTTCAAAGAAAAACCCATCGATCCGTTTGTTAAAAAAGGGAAAAATCAACAAACATTTTCTTCTATCCAAGAAAATAAACAGACCCATGAGAAAATCCGAGTGACCCATAAAGCAAAAAGCTTCAAAAATCTTCAAGAAACCCTAAACCCAGAAAACCCCTCATCGAAACATCGTCCGTACAAAATAAAATAAAAAATCT